TCAACCCGTTGAAACTTGCTCAAATTAAAGTTTTTATTTTTAATATTCAATACTAATAACAAATTAATTAATTAATACGGTACACACACGTACACATATATATATATATATATGCATATATTATAATGCAAACATATATTTTTAATTATGAAAAATAACCAAGTATAACCATTATTCTCATAAAATATAATTAGATATAATCAATTATTTTTATTAAATTAAAAATTTGAATATGTGTTATATAAGTGCTAGCTAAAAACAATAAGAAATGTTGATCTATTTAAGAAAGAAAAGTGAACTTGTGCTGAAAAAAATGAAAGAAGTCTGACACAAAAGGTTTGACAGAGTCTATTGTACACTGCTAGCTATCTCTGCTATCCACCCATACTTGAGCAGAGAAGAAGAGCAACGTTGTTGATTCAGAGTGTTAAAAATTTCTAATTTTGATCCAAATCCAGCCTCATTCAGCTGTCACCAACTTCATTGGGAAGATTGAAGCAAACAAATCAATCATCTCTTTTATGACTGCATTACCCTTTTGCAGATCCCAAGAAGTATAAGAATCAACTTTCATTTATTCATTCATTCTTTCTTTCTTGCAATTTTACTTGATGAAACCGAACTGGGAGCTCAACAACTGCTGCAACCACGAACAGGTGGTGTTTCTGGTCACTGTCGGTGTCTGCACTGTCGTTATACTTGCGGTATGTACCCTTCTCCTCTGCCACCTTTCTTTTACTTTTTGCATTGGATCCAATAAACATACCCCACTCCTGGTAAGACCCAAGTTGGGAACTTTTTTCTTTTAGGTAAGATCTTTTGGGACATTGTGCTGCTTTGAAACAAAATGAAATGCCTTTTTGTAAATGGGTATATTCTGGTGCTACCTTTCTAAATTTGAATTGCTATTTACAAAGTCAACGATTCAAGCTTACCAAGAATGTTCTTTTTCCTTACTACCCTAAATTGCTTCAGTTAAGCATAATTAAGATCGGTTATGGATAAACTCTCCTAATTCTGCATGTTAATAGCTATTGCAATGCCTGAATCTGAATGGTTTATGTGGTTTTATTAATTTAATGTTCACTCAAGTATTCTACATTTATTGGATGGATTTTGTAATTGTATCAAAACTCCTGGTATGTTAGTATTGTTATAAATGCGATGAATAATAGTATGTTACCTATATTTTCGTTGTAAACCCACCTTTTTTGTAATTCCTACATTTTTCAGCTATGGAGAACAGTGTTACTCAGACCCTTTAAGCTTGTTACCGTATTTCTTCACGAGGCAAGCCATGCAATTGCTTGTAAACTCACTTGCGGTCATGTAAGAGCTTAATATTGGTGCTTTTGTTTGTTCGATTAACATTTCTGTGTTGATTAAGTATTGAAAGAGAACATAACTTTTGTTTTGGCTTATCATTTGACCAGATTTTTAGTGTATATTTTGATCTATCTGTCTCAAATATCTCTTGTTTTTAAGATTTCTGTTTTCCCTCGTCTGATGTTACCACACTTTGCTTATAACACAGTGCCGAACTTGTATTCTTAATCTTTACTCTATCATTTAACTTGAAAATCACAAAACAAAAAAGGGCAGGATAATTCTTCTTATTTATGGAAGGTGGCTTAAATCTGAAATGTTTGTTTGAATGGCTAAACTCATCTGCTTAGTGCCAAAAATATCAATTTCACAGATAGGATTTTACGTCAGTTAAGGTTAACTGGTTGTTTTTACTCCTGCAGCTCATCTATAACTAGTTTTTATTTTCATTTTTCCCAAGTGTATCTTTTGGTTACAAGTTCTTTGGTTTTTTAAGCGATTTAAGACAGGTATATCCTGGTTCCGAGGTTCTTCCTCTCTTTCAATTTTCCTTATTTGCTAATCAAATGAGTATGCCATATTACCATCACTTCGCAATAACTTATACTCACATTTTGTTGTAGTGTTTGGCATAAAAAATACTAATTATGGATATTCTATACCTGTGTAATCTTCTTTTGCTTCTGAAAATCAGAAAAAGTATATCGCTTTCAGTACAGAATATACCCTTGACACGACATTTAATTGCAGGTAGAAGGAATACAGGTTCATGCAGATGAAGGTGGAACAACCCAAACACGTGGAGGCGTATATTGGTTGATCTTGCCAGCTGGATGTATTGTCAACAATTTTTTCTTATACATTTTAGTTTTTTTACCTTGACATGTTAATTTAATTTACAGCTCTCACGCAACAGATAAACATAGCAGTCTAAATTATCAAATCTATTCTGATAAATGTGATCATTTCTGTTCTTATTGCTTATCATATACAGCGTAGCAGTTAATGTGTATATCCTGCTTATAACTTTCGTAGAATACTGTCATCATTGCTATTAGTTTCTGTAAATATCTGGTTTCATTTCATCTTATTTGTTTTTTTATCCTTGTATTGTTGATTCAGATATTGGTTCATCTTTCTGGGGCATGGTATTGATACTTGCATCGACAAAACTTCTTACTGCCAGAATAGCTGCTGGTTGTTTTATTGCTGCTCTTCTTATTGTTCTCTTCGTTGCCAAAAACGTAGGTGATGGACACTGGCCACTTAATTTTAACCTTGATCTTTCTCCTTTCGTGCTACAATGTCTATTCAGAATATGAAAATTTAGAAACAGATTGAACAGTTTCAAGCATCCGTATCACTATGAAGATTCAAACCTGTTGATAAAATGAATTATGATTTTGGATTATTGCTATAAAATTCAGTAATAAAATACTTGCATTTCTGTGTCATTGTGTGAAAGTGAAACTATTTTCTGAGATAGAGAGAGATTTTGATCCATTTTGCTATCTCTGCCTTATATTATTCTTGATCTTCAATTCTACATGCAGTGGACTCTTCGGGGACTTTGTATTGGTGAGTTGTGTTTTCATACTATAGTTTTATGACTTACAAATAATGAATGTATCATCTTTTTTTCAACATATTTTATGTTTGGATATTGATGTCTCAGGATTTATAGTGTTCCTTGGGGTGATATGGATTTTGCAAGAGACAACCAAAGTTCGAATCTTGCGGTACATTATTTTGTTCATAGGTAAATACAGTAACAACCTTTTCTTTTGAAAATTATTTGGTGTCTCTATTGAGATATTATAGCCTAGTTTGGGCAAGGGGTTTGTCTTAAGAGAATCCCTATCCAATTCCTTATCCAGGTTAAAGATGAAGGTTAAGGTTACTTTGATCATTTTCATTGAAAACATAACTTATTTTCATTGAAATGCAGGAGTGATGAATAGCTTGTTTTCAGTATACGGTATGTTTTTTGGAAATAAAGAATTGAGGTGGCTTGGTGTTACATATACTTTTTGTATGAAATATTAAGACCCCTTCAATATGAGATTGCAGACATATACGATGATCTGATCTCCCGAAGAGTAAATTCTAGTGATGCAGAAAAATTTGCAGAAGTGTGCCCTTGTCCTTGTACTGGTGTTGGATGGGGTGTTATTTGGTGAGTATATCTTATTACAGAGAGTTTACTGTGTTGTTTATGCTAAAGGTTATTGAACTCACTAGTTTATTTGACCAATTCTAAACTCTTTCTGCAGGGGTTTGATATCTTTTATCTTTCTTTGCGGAGCAGTGTATCTGGGTGCTGTGATCTTGTCATAATTCACAATGTAGCTTTATCCTGCACTTGTCATTAGTTTATGAGTAATGCCTTCCATTCTAATCCTTTTTGGATTTTTTATTTTTTGTGCAAGTGCAGCAAGAAACGTTCTATTACCACTGAAATGTGATTCCATTTATATCTATTCCATATTTATTTTTTATTCTTATCTCTCTTCTTATTACATAATGACTCTTATAAATCTATCAATTTTATTAATGTTAATATATATATATATATATATATATATATATAGTGCACCAATTTTGATAAATTATTAGCGTGCAAAAATTAACGATGGTATGGGTCCCATTTCCCAAAACTAATTCATAGATTGGGTTACAAAGAAAAGATAATAATTCCTCGTTTTAACTAACAATTAACGATGCATAAGTATTTCATAAAATAATCTATGCATCACAATTTAACAAGAAGAAATTTAACAATATTGAATATATAGATAAATTAACTGAAATTTGAGTGCCAGAAGTTTTGCCAAATTTTAATCTTTAGGTGTTGTCATCAACCTAATTCACTCCACGGTTAATGCAATCAACTTAATTCGCTATATGAATATAATGTATATATTGCAATATAATCAAATCGCATTTATTCAACCTAGGTATTTATAAAAGTGTAAATCAAAATAAAAATTTACGATATTAAATTAGTTAATTAATTATTCAAATTATTTAAATAACAATATCTTAATACTACATAAACTAAAGTATCAAGATATATAAGATTAAGAACAACAAATAATTATAATAAAAATACCTCCAATCGAATTTCTTCTAAAACTCTTGAATTAAATAAATTAAATATAATTTGATCCAAATTAAAAAATGTTAAATTTTTTTTTTAGCTCAATCTTACTTATAAAGATTGACCAGTGGATTCCTATCTTGACCTTTAAGAAGCAAGTGGGTTATTTACATTGTATATTTTGAGGTTGTTTTCTAACAGAACTAAAGTATAGCAAAGAGGAGCACAAAACAATACATTCATTTACCGTCAACATAACATAATTCTACTAACAAACAAATTCGAAAGAATTCTAAATTGTACCTAAAAAATATTTAATCATATCAGGAAGTGTTAATTCAACGTAAACTTAAATTTTAAACTTGAATTCGACAACTAGAAATGCAACCAATGCAATTCGAATTAAAGATAATATTTTGCACACAATTCAAATAGACAAAACGTCATTTTAGCAAACATTTTGACACAGAACTGGTTATTTTTATGAAATTACGGCCACGTACCACAAATCCCCTTCTCAAAAATTAAATCCTGTTTTTCTGCCAATAAACTGAATGAAAAATATTAACCATAATTGAAGGTTTCGAATCAAATGAACTTCAGATTTATAATTATAATAAAGCTCAAAACTACATCGATGAAACCAGAAATAGTACTTTGAAAAATCCCAAATCGAAAGTCAAATTGTAACCAAAATTTTAACCAGCATACTCCATATGCAATTAATAAAACTAAGCCTCTGAGACAGGATAATCAAACACAACATCTTTGCCCGAAAGCTTCCTGTACACTGCAGCAAATGTCTCCAACTTGTACTCAGTGTTGTTTCTCTCCTTCGGGTCCAAGAAAACCTACAAAATCATTGAATCATACAAATTTAGCAGGCAACAATAAAAGTTAGAAAATAGGTACTCAATCCCATCACTAACAAAACACTTTTATAGAAACCTTTTACAATTCTATTCCAATAGACAAAGTATCTTGGAGAAGTGGCAATAAGAGCTATTTATACCTTCATGATCTTGGATCCATCAATTCTAAACCTCACACGCTTCCCAACAATCTCAGCAGGCAATACAACATCCTCCAGCATTGCTTCATGAACAGCAGTAAGAGTTCGGCTGCGTGGTCGCTGAACAGCAGAACCCTTCTTTGGTGGCCTCAATATCCTTCGGGTGGCAACCAAGATAACATCCTTCAAGTTATAATCAAATTAAAGAGGATCAATAAAAAATATATAAATAACATGATACAAAAATAGAAAAAAAAAATGATATACAACAAGCATTCCACAAAGGAATGTTTAAGACTATTACACAGAAAAAATTAGCCAAATTGCACTCAATTCCGAGGGATGATTAAATGCTGAGGAGAACATGATCAACTCTAACACAGGTTAATCAATCTCGTAAGGTGGGACAGCAACTTTTTTCTTATTTCGTTAGCATGGCAAAAACAATTAGTCATCACGAGTTCTGAGACACATTTTAAAAAATTAATTCTCCTCTTGCACAATCAACGGAATAGAATGATTTAGTAAAGAGAATAAAAAGGATACCAAACGTATTCTAAATCTAAAATACCAAAAATCATGCGAAAGCAAAATTTTGCTATATACCTTCCCACTAAACTTCTTCTCGAGCTCCCTAACAAGTCTAACATGAATCTTGCGGAAACNTATAGCCTAGTTTGGGCAAGGGGTTTGTCTTAAGAGAATCCCTATCCAATTCCTTATCCAGGTTAAAGATGAAGGTTAAGGTTACTTTGATCATTTTCATTGAAAACATAACTTATTTTCATTGAAATGCAGGAGTGATGAATAGCTTGTTTTCAGTATACGGTATGTTTTTTGGAAATAAAGAATTGAGGTGGCTTGGTGTTACATATACTTTTTGTATGAAATATTAAGACCCCTTTAATATGAGATTGCAGACATATACGATGATCTGATCTCCCGAAGAGTAAATTCTAGTGATGCAGAAAAATTTGCAGAAGTGTGCCCTTGTCCTTGTACTGGTGTTGGATGGGGTGTTATTTGGTGAGTATATCTTATTACAGAGAGTTTACTGTGTTGTTTATGCTAAAGGTTATTGAACTCACTAGTTTATTTGACCAATTCTAAACTCTTTCTGCAGGGGTTTGATATCTTTTATCTTTCTTTGCGGAGCAGTGTATCTGGGTGCTGTGATCTTGTCATAATTCACAATGTAGCTTTATCCTGCACTTGTCATTAGTTTATGAGTAATGCCTTCCATTCTAATCCTTTTTGGATTTTTTATTTTTTGTGCAAGTGCAGCAAGAAACGTTCTATTACCACTGAAATGTGATTCCATTTATATCTATTCCATATTTATTTTTTATTCTTATCTCTCTTCTTATTACATAATGACTCTTATAAATCTATCAATTTTATTAAGGTTAATATATATATATAGTGCACCAATTTTGATAAATTATTAGCGTGCAAAAATTAACGATGGTATGGGTCCCATTTCCCAAAACTAATTCATAGATTGGGTTACAAAGAAAAGATAATAATTCCTCGTTTTAACTAACAATTAACGATGCATAAGTATTTCATAAAATAATCTATGCATCACAATTTAACAAGAAGAAATTTAACAATATTGAATATATAGATAAATTAACTGAAATTTGAGTGCCAGAAGTTTTGCCAAATTTTAATCATTAGGTGTTGTCATCAACCTAATTCACTCCACGGTTAATGCAATCAACTTAATTCGCTATATGAATATAATGTATATATTGCAATATAATCAAATCGCATTTATTCAACCTAGGTATTTATAAAAGTGTAAATCAAAATAAAAATTTACGATATTAAATTAGTTAATTAATTATTCAAATTATTTAAATAACAATATCTTAATACTACATAAACTAAAGTATCAAGATATATAAGATTAAGAACAACAAATAATTATAATAAAAATACCTCCAATCGAATTTCTTCTAAAACTCTTGAATTAAATAAATTAAATATAATTTGATCCAAATTAAAAAATGTTAAATTTTTTTTTTAGCTCAATCTTACTTATAAAGATTGACCAGTGGATTCCTATCTTGACCTTTAAGAAGCAAGTGGGTTATTTACATTGTATATTTTGAGGTTGTTTTCTAACAGAACTAAAGTATAGCAAAGAGGAGCACAAAACAATACATTCATTTACCGTCAACATAACATAATTCTACTAACAAACAAATTCGAAAGAATTCTAAATTGTACCTAAAAAATATTTAATCATATCAGGAAGTGTTAATTCAACGTAAACTTAAATTTTAAACTTGAATTCGACAACTAGAAATGCAACCAATGCAATTCGAATTAAAGATAATATTTTGCACACAATTCAAATAGACAAAACGTCATTTTAGCAAACATTTTGACACAGAACTGGTTATTTTTATGAAATTACGGCCACGTACCACAAATCCCCTTCTCAAAAATTAAATCCTGTTTTTCTGCCAATAAACTGAATGAAAAATATTAACCATAATTGAAGGTTTCGAATCAAATGAACTTCAGATTTATAATTATAATAAAGCTCAAAACTACATCGATGAAACCAGAAATAGTACTTTGAAAAATCCCAAATCGAAAGTCAAATTGTAACCAAAATTTTAACCAGCATACTCCATATGCAATTAATAAAACTAAGCCTCTGAGACAGGATAATCAAACACAACATCTTTGCCCGAAAGCTTCCTGTACACTGCAGCAAATGTCTCCAACTTGTACTCAGTGTTGTTTCTCTCCTTCGGGTCCAAGAAAACCTACAAAATCATTGAATCATACAAATTTAGCAGGCAACAATAAAAGTTAGAAAATAGGTACTCAATCCCATCACTAACAAAACACTTTTATAGAAACCTTTTACAATTCTATTCCAATAGACAAAGTATCTTGGAGAAGTGGCAATAAGAGCTATTTATACCTTCATGATCTTGGATCCATCAATTCTAAACCTCACACGCTTCCCAACAATCTCAGCAGGCAATACAACATCCTCCAGCATTGCTTCATGAACAGCAGTAAGAGTTCGGCTGCGTGGTCGCTGAACAGCAGAACCCTTCTTTGGTGGCCTCAATATCCTTCGGGTGGCAACCAAGATAACATCCTTCAAGTTATAATCAAATTAAAGAGGATCAATAAAAAAAATATAAATAACATGATACAAAAATAGAAAAAAAAAATGATATACAACAAGCATTCCACAAAGGAATGTTTAAGACTATTACACAGAAAAAATTAGCCAAATTGCACTCAATTCCGAGGGATGATTAAATGCTGAGGAGAACATGATCAACTCTAACACAGGTTAATCAATCTCGTAAGGTGGGACAGCAACTTTTTTCTTATTTCGTTAGCATGGCAAAAACAATTAGTCATCACGAGTTCTGAGACACATTTTAAAAAATTAATTCTCCTCTTGCACAATCAACGGAATAGAATGATTTAGTAAAGAGAATAAAAAGGATACCAAACGTATTCTAAATCTAAAATACCAAAAATCATGCGAAAGCAAAATTTTGCTATATACCTTCCCACTAAACTTCTTCTCGAGCTCCCTAACAAGTCTAACATGAATCTTGCGGAAACCTTTCCTTAATCTGTATGGAACATGAATGACAACAGCCTTGCGGTTCCCAGAAACATCAATTTGGCTGCAGATATTTAAACGGCATTTACAAGTCAGAGGGAAAACCAATCAACCTTGCCAACAAACACAGACATATAATAGGCATGCTTACATGGCTGAATTAATGTATAGATCCTTAAGATCACTTTTAAGCTCCTGGTTGGTGTTTTCCAAATCAAACAGTGCCTGCAAAACAACAAGTTAACACGATTAGAAATAAGTGTCATCAAACAGCAACATTGTATAACGATTAATGTGTTACCTGCCCAACTGATTCTTCAAACTCAGTTGGCTCGGCATCCTTATCCTTGTGGATTTTCTTCCTTGATGTATACATCTTCAAAACTATACAAAACAACAAAATTTTAATGTGGCTAAACAAAATTAAGGATCGTTCACTTTCACATAAACTACAAATTGTTGTACATGACTTGAAATTTCATACAAAGTATAAAAAGTCTAGATAAAACATAATAGGTGTAGAAACAAACCTAACCCCAATCATAAAGATTTCAAGATACAAACCCAGCCCCAATCAGTAAAAATGCAAACAGCCATTTGGATTAAACCATTACACTAAAATAAAAAAGAAAAATTTTGCTCTGCTTTTCAGTGACTCTGTTAATCGATATACAGAATACGTAAAGGAGGCAAATGGATTTCCAGACACGTACCTTACCAGGAGAAGATGCAAACCCTCAGAGATCTGCGGCTAAGACTAAGAATGCGAGTCCGTGCTGATTTCGCAGTGAACGAAAACCCTAGGGTTTGAGATGAAACTGTTTATAAGGACTGAATGAACGACTGTGATGGATTTTATGTACACGTGGACGGTCCATATTGTCAACTGTTTTATTATTGGGCCTCACTGTCTTGTTATTTTTTAAATATTTATTAATTACAACCTCAGTTTGCTATTAAAAGTCCTTTCACTAGAACTTTGTTTATTGACTAAAATATCCTTGATGCTTTAATCATTCATTTTAATAAA